GGGTTGCCCCGGAGCCGGGCGGCGGCTCCGGCGTCACTCCGGCTCTGACCCGGTGCTGGCTGCAGGGCGGCGGTTGGCGAGGCACGGCGCCGTACCTTCTGGCCGTCCAGCTGGCCACCGTGGGAGGTGCGGGCATTGCGGGAGAAAAAAGCGCGCTCTCAGCAAATAATTGTTCGTGGCGTTGGTTGCGCTGGACACCAGTAGTTAGGAAGGCCAGTGGTTCCCTCCCTCTGTGTATAATTGCGATTTCCTAAAGGCTTGAGAAGGACAGCGTGGGCTTTTTTCCTGAGTTGTCTTTAGAAATTTAACTTTCTCGGCAATACGGATACCCATATGCAAGACAAAGAGTGCAGACTCTACTGTTACTGTGGGAGCATGTGGTAGTACAGGCTGTGTGGGAGGCCAGAAAAATTGATGTGAGTAAAGACCAACTTCAGTATGAATGGCCACAGCTCAAAAATTCGCTGTGATTTTGGAGATTTAATCTAGTTTTGGGACTTGGCAGAGTTAATCCACGAGTTCTGGCCTGTTTTGTGGGAAAGGAGGGTGGGTGTGATTAGGGGAAGCAGGGAAGATTTTGTGTATGTTAAGCATTCCCTTTCATCACAGGCATCGAGTGTCACTGAAGTGGCATAACCCCTAATGTACATGAATGAGCTCTCCACTGCCGGAGCTGTGACAGCGAGCTCCGCTGGTGCAAAGGGCTGCCTGCCCATACTGGGGGTTGTCCTGCTTCTCTTACACTGGTGGCTGTAGTCTGTAAAATCCCCAGCACAGAAAATGCTGAATGCTAAACGTTGATTTTCGTGCCAGCTGAGTGATGGTAGGGAGATTCTGTTACGTTGGCTGTATTTATTTCTGAGCAATTTGTTTTCAGGACCGTAGGAAAAACCTTTGCATTCCCGGAGGGGTTTTGCTAGCTCATCAGATGCTGTGCTGCCCGGGGCTTGTCAGCGCAGAGGAGTGGCTGAATTGTTGGCTTCTGTTAGCCTGGTCTGGAAAGGGAGGACCCTTTTTCAGGGCATCTGCAAGTACTTGGTGTGTCGTGCTTGGTGCGTCCTGCCTTGGGTACTGATCGAAAGTGGCTTCTCTGGGCTGACCTGCAACAAAGAGAGGGAGCAAACGCCACGCAGTGGATAGTGTGACAGGTCCCAGTGCAGGCTTTGTGGCCTTGGGGCCTTCTGTGGTTGATGCTCTAGACTTACGTGACTTGTTCTGATACCTCTGTTTAGATTTCTCCATTCTCAAGAACAACAGCTCAGTTCTTGTTTTGCTGCGGCGCTTGTGTGAGCACCAGACGGGCAGTGGCTCGTAGCTTTCATCTCACCCACGACTGGATCTTCAGCCTGTCACGCTAACCAGACTTGTAACTTCTTCCACAGTAGCCGGACGGTCTGTGCAGAGCTTTGCACTCGTGTCTGCCGAGGCACCAGAGGTCTCAATCCCCTTTGTTGTCATGGAAATTTCCCAGCTGATTTTTAGCAGTGGCCTTAATTCCCGCCCCCCCCCAGAATGAAAAGCGAAAGTAAAAGTTGTGCAGTTGTTCAGTGTAGGTTCAACGGCCTTTCTATTACTAGAGCAGTTTTTAATTGGTAGCACATAGTCTCTTATAACTGTTTGAAATAAGTCCTTAACTGCAGTAATGGCTTGAGCAGTTGTTAAAGGTAGATGAGGCCTAGGATAAAGCACGAGTTTATCACTGGTGAGGCAGCAGCCAGGAAATGTTGCTCTCCCGGAGGTGACCTGTGGGTTTCCCCTGCATCGCCAGCCCTTTCCCCCCGCCCCCAGCTCCTTGCAAGCTGTCATCATGTTGTGTGAAACTGCTTCAGAGAAATAAGATGTGACTTCACCTTTGGGCAAAAGAATCAGAGAACTGAAACGGGAGAGAGTAGGTTTTTATGGGCTTATGGCTTTGGCCAGAACCTAAGCTTTTCCACATTCATGCTATCAAGAGGAAGAGGAGGTGTTCTACAAAGACCTTTTCTTCCAGTTTGTTTGTTTGAACTGACTTTGTTTTCATAATTTCAAAGGATAGCACTAGGCAGCCTGGCTGGATATCCCTTTCAGTTGAAGGCTCCTTAAATTTCAGCTTGATGCGGTGCCCGTATCTCTAGTTCTGCAGCTCCACAGAAGGTCAACCAGTAAAAGCAGTCAGGGAAAACAAAGTGTCGTGTTTGAGGCGAGCTGTCCTTTCTAAGGCGCCGGTGAAGAGCTGTAACTTTGCATTACACAGAAGGAACAAAAGGAGAAACCCTAGTTTTAGTTTGGGTGCGATAATTGGTGCGTATGCGGGATAACAGAGATGGATTCCTGCAAATTTATGTCTGCGTGTATATATAACTTCAGACATTTTTCCATCTTTTTTTTTTTTTTTTTTTTGCAGACTCCATGAAAACAAGGCCGGTTGGGATGGCAGTCAGACTAAGTGGGTGAGTTTATGTATAAAACTGACTAACTTTGGATTTTAAATATTTGCAGATTTGTTAAATACAGAATTTCTTATTGGTGCCAACAGCCTGACCCCGTTGGTGTTTAAATGGAGCTCTGGTATTCTAGTGCATTCTTTTACCTCTGCTTCTGTTGCGTTGCAAGCTGTGCTAGAGAAGACGTAGGAAATTCATTTTACCCAATCAGCAATTGTAACAATGGACTACAAACCTGCAGAGCAAGCCGGTTTGCTGGAAAACAGGAATTCCTGCAGCGCAGCGCTTGTCACAGACTATCCAAAGAGGGCAAAGATTCAGGAAGGTGAATAAATTGAACATTGGTTGAATGAGGTCAGGAACAGTCTCCCGGAGGAGAACCCTGCCCTAAAATACTACTTTGAAAGTATAAGCCAATTTAATGCGCAGATTAACCCTTCTCATTTGAGCAAACCTGTGTGCAATCCTGGATCTTTGCAAATCACAACCGGACACTTCAAAAACCTATGTACTATATTTGTTTTAAAAAAATAAATCATAACTTGTCTTGTTACAGCTGTTACTTTTACCATTTCATTGAGAATATCTGCAACATAAATGTATATTTGACTTGAAACAGTATCATACACTTGGTATAACAACTCAGGTTGTCGACAGAATTACTCTGTGAGGCTCGATGTCGCCTCTCCATTCTTCTCTGAAAAATGCATTAACCATTGCTGTCATTGCCAGAAATCAGTTACAGCACAATTGTGCATTACAAAATTCTTGATCAAATATAATAATTGACCTAAATTATTACTCAGTTTTTATTCTTGTAGAATACTTAGGATCCTGAGCATCAGGCTAGACCTTTGTAGCCTGGTGTTCATGAAAATCATATTCGCTGGTTCACGGTTTAATCGTTCTACATCTCAGTATTTTGTTTTCTTTTCCTTTTCCCTTGCATACTAGGGAGTATGATCAAGGTAATACTATGATCCAGTAACGCGCATGATGGTAAGGGTATGCCTTTAGTTGTTTCAGGAAAAAGCTGCCGTTATCTGCTCTCCTTTACCTTTCTTGATAGTTTCAATAATATGCATAACATGAAGTGTTTGTAAATTGATATTAAGCTGTTTGTGACTTCACCTAAATAAATTTTTATATATAAATGCTGTTCTTAATTGTAGCCTTTTTTTTCCTCCCTTGTTCCTGTATTGCCACTTCCCCTTTTACAATCACTTTTTTCCGTCACCTGACCTTTTACAAAATTTCCAGTGTTCAGTTATGAAAGCACAACTGAATCTTAACTGTCGACAAAAAACAAATCAGCCTTTGAAATTTACTTTCAGTGTTTTGCATAAGGGCTTGATAATGTTGCAACTGTAGTTGTCATAGCTTTTTCGTCTTTGTCAGTTGTTGAGATGACGATAGTTATCAGGCCTTGATCTGTCTGAAAATGAAATAGCCGCTGTACTGAAATACCAGCGTTTTAATGGCCTCCAAACTGGGACTCTGATCCAGCGAAGGCTGAGATATCTGCATTCAGTGCAGTGGAATATAGAGCACTCTTACAAATGGAATTACAAGTTACAAAAATACTGTTCATTTTTCAGAAAGGGCTTAGAGCTCAATAATGAGGTCTCTCGTGCCATTTTTCACTTGTCCTGTTTTCTTCAGAAATCAGAACCCCATTACTCACCGGTCTGTGCTGCGTGTCTTCCATGTCATTGCTACACGTGGAGCACCTCGGGCATCTTCTCCCGTGACAGTGGCAGGGCTTGGGGGGAGGGACAGGGAGAGGGTGACGCGGAGTGGGGAAGGATGAGCAGTTGTCGGTCTCCTCAGTCCCGCTGAGGAATTGCACAAGCGTGGGTCTTAACCTACTGACTCAGGGCAGCAAAGCAGCAACACTTTTGTTTTTCTTGTCCTGTTTGGGAGCGGCAATCCCAGCTGGAGTCTGAAGCACTTCCTAACGTTCTTCATCCGAGTCCTTCTGCCAGGAATTAGTTGGGCTCGTTTGTTACTCTCTCCAGTCTTCACACAGTCTCGTGCCCTTCCTGGCACCCGGTCACCTCCCCGTTCCCTGGCTGCTGCTGGTGCTGGGTTGGACCACCCTGTCTTCTGCCTCTGCTCTAGGCAGCTGCCAGGGCTCTGCCTTGCTCTCCAGCGTTAGTAGCTGCTTTCAAAAGGCTGCCTGCTTTCACAAAGAAACTTGCCTTTCAAATTATTAGCGGTGATGTTTTTACAGTCTGTGGGACTTTCCCCTGCCCTGCTTTTTTTTTTTGCCTGTCTTCATAAATTTTGACCTTCCCAGTAACTTCTCTGTGGTCCCTGCGCATCCTCGCTTTGGCATTTATTGTTGCACGTGTGCTTTCCCCCCTCGTTGCTGTGCTGTAAGCTTCTGCATCAAATTTCCTTGTCTGTTAGTTTCTCGTTAAAAGTGTTGGATGTCAGTGGGTTTCTTCAAATTCCAACAGTTAGTTACTGCGTGGGTTTGTGTATGTTGTTGACACCGGGCGAGTCTTGCCTTCAGAGCTCCTGAGGCTGCCTTGTCCTTGCAGAGTCAGCATGGTGCAGAGCCACGTGCCCTCTGTTCATCGCTGGTTTATGAGCAGATACCTTTCGGTGATCATAAGCTAAGCTTGCTCTCATTTACGTGGTGTGGCAGGCAGCGCGGAGATGCCGAAGATGCCCGCTGTCTGAAAGCAGACCTTGAGGATGACCCTGAAGCTAAGTGATGGGTGAAGATAGAGCACACGGTGGGCGAGAGGCTTGGTGTCAAAATGAACCATGGTTCTGTTATTTGTTCAGTAACTGATCTGCAGTGGAGATCAGTGATATGTAAGAATTTTTTTTATTATTATTATTTTACATAAGTCCCGTTACTTAGCATGGGGAGATGTCCTCTTTTCAGTGTTGCTGCAATTTCTTATGCTGCTCTCAAAAAATGTTGAGCATTTGTACAAAGTATCAGCAAAGGTTTTCACCAAGGCTGATGGAACTTCCAGCTGGGAATACTTGTAAAATGTGTGGGAATTGATCTGTTTGGGAGGACCATCATCTTATAGAAAAACAGTTTTCTGTCAGTTGACTAGAATTAGGTAGCACGTACTTTTGGCAGGTAATTTCAGATAAGTTTATTTTTAGGGATTTCCAGCAAGACAGGATTTTTTTTTCACAGGCGTGCTTTCTCATGTGCTGGATCGATATGCATTGTTACTACAAAGAACAGATTAAAACCAGCGCAGTGTGACTCTGACAGCACAAAATGTGTTGCAGCTTAGGGATGAGACTAAAACACGTAAGTCTTTGAGCAAGCTGACATGACTGGGGAGATTAGAGTCGTGCTTCATCAAAAGTAGAGTCAAATAAGTGGGATTTCTGACTTCCACCTGCGTGCAGCACTTGGGTTTGAGATATTTGGAGCATCTGAAAGAACGAGATGGTGCTACACCCTTCTGGCCTTACTAGTATGATGTGTCTTTAAAGGTAAGATGATAGCAGAACATTTTGCATGCGGGGTATCCTGTCGCATCTGCAGCTGAACAGAATTATTACTTCTGAGCTCTGACTAGATCCTGTCACTTATTTGGTGTGTGTCTAAGCGTGCCTGGATGGAGCGGACTTGGGAGACTCCACAGCAGGGTTTCATGTGTTTTTGAGAAGCCGGTGGCATTGGCAACAAGTCTTTCTGTCCACTCCCATAGCAAAATCAAAACCAAAAGCCCAGGGACTGTGGTAACCATGGAGGGGAGGGATGTGAGTCGGTGATAACAGCCTAGATGTTTGCAGAAATGTTGCCTAGTGAACTTACCGAACATTTTGGGGGGTCATATGCTTACTAGGGACTGCAACAATTAATAATGTCTATGGGAGTGCTTCTGGCAGTTCTTTCTACAAAGAGATGATGTCCCTGAAAACTCAGACTTGACTGTTATCCTATCACAAAGTTCAGTGTGCATTAGTCCAGCACAATACAGCACACAAACTTTTATCCATATAATCTTCTGGGTCCAACACTTTTTTGGATGTTGCTGGTTCCCCCCGCCCCGCCCCGGGAATTCTTGTCAAAACCAGTTGGCATCTTTGTGGTTTGGCAGTTTACTGGGCAATCAGCTAAATGGCAGCTGAGATTTAAAGAGCAGAAACATGTTTACAAAATCCTGCATATCTGTAAACATGAAATATTTCAAGAAGTATTTTTACCTTTTTTGGTGGCTGTTGCTCTTTCTTTGCTTTAAAGAACACTTTCTTCTTCCCAGTGTCTCAGTGCAGTGTTGCTGTGTCAGTATTTCCAGGGCAGCAGGGGAATGTTTACATCCAAACAAAATCTGTTTTCTCTGAATTTTTTAATTGCAAACATTTGTGCCCGTAAAATCCTTTCCACATAACTCAGTCACTGTTTAACTTAAATTTTTTGATTCTGTGCAAAGTCTAAAACTCAGATCACGTTCAGTTTTAGGCTTGAGGGGTTTTTTTCTGAATCATGTAATAAGAGCATTGCCTCTGCACCTACATCAGTGGATACAGAAAATGCCATTTGCCACTTAAAAAGGCAGTCCTAATGATCTGAAGTCAGGAATGGCTGTTTAAAAACAGAAATACGGCTTACACTGGCTTCAGATACTGTAAGCGCCATCTGCATTGGTGATGCTGTTCAAAGTGTCCATAAATGCCCTACATGGGACAACCTCACAAGTTTTATTTCCATTTGAAGTCTCAGCCCATGACTGTGTGTGGCTTTTTCTGCAGAGGCAGTCATAGGCCCTTAAAGGGCTGGGTGTGCTGGTGTTAGTTGGTGGGGCTGTTCAGCTGATGAGCTGCAAGACAACATGGTGGCAGAGGACCTGGACTGCGTCGTCCCCCACAGATGTCCCTGGCATAAACAGAGACCAGACAGCTGCTTGAAATGCGTAACACGGGCCAAGAGTTCTTGCCTCTTCACCTAAGCTTTCCACCCTCTGCTTGGGCATTCTGGCATTTATCTTCCACCACAGCTCCTTCCTCTCTGCAGGGTTTTTTTTTCACTCCATAACAGTCAAATGTCATTCATGCTGGTGTCTGGCAGGAAGAAGTACCACCAGTGCATGCTGATAGTTCCCTACTGTATTCATGTCTCCTGTGGATGATCCATGCCGTGCTAAGCGAAAAGATGTTTCTTCCCCTTAAAGCTGGGGACTGAAGTTTATACAGCTGCTTATCAGAGGTGCTTGGATTAGAAATGTTAGCAACCCCGGATCCTTGACAATAAAAGATCAGTTCGAGGTGGAGAAATCTCTGAGGGTGCCTTTTCTCAGGGCATGCAGGTGTGTCTCTTGCTGCACTTGGTGTGACTGCAGATGATGAGGGACCTGAAGCAGGAGGCTTCTCAAAGTGCCGTGGACTGGGAGGGAAGCATTTCATTTTCCTTCTTTCTGTGTGTCGCAGTTTAACCTGGCAACTAGGACCTGACAGCCACTCGCTCACCCCTCCCCTCCCAGTGGGATGGGGAGGAGAAATGGACAAAAGGCAA